AGCCGTGGCGTGCGTGCGTGCTTGCCCTGCGCGCGTGCTGTGTTGGGCGGGCCACTCGCACAAGTGCCACAAGCGCAGAAGGCAACTGCCCCTAATAACTCCCTACGCACATCCTTGTCAGTGTTACAAGTGCAGAAACTGATGCCTGGTCAAGTGAAGCGGCTTTGACTCCCGCTCCCAGGCCAGTAACAGCAGGCAGGGCCACTCTTTGTCCTCAGGGAGGGGTTCTGACGACGCCCTCAGAGCGGCTGTTCAGAATCACTTTGAGCATGGCCACACACGTGAAGCAGGTCTTCTGTCCGAGATGCTACCTCTTCTCTTCCAGCCTCTGACACTGCTTTCGGGGACCCCTCTTGGATTTACTCTCCTTCCTTCACTGACTGGGACTGTGCAGCTCCGTAGTATATGTTCACTGTGGGACGCCATCCCCTCTTCCTAAATAATTCTCTCAAAGGGACAGAGTAATGCTTTATAGACTGAATTTATCAAAAATTGTGTGGGAAAAGTTGCAGTAAAAGATCAGAAGTTTGATAACTTTTGTCCCATCTAAGCACAGGGATTAAAAGCTGAATGTGTTAGAGACAATTAAAAAAAAAAAAAAGAAACCCAAGCTTTAAGCAAAGCTTCTGAGGCATACTTCATGTTTTAGGGAAGTAATCTGGAACTTGCAAATGTAATTCTTGGTAGAAAAGGAGAGTCACCACTGTCTCACAATGCCTTACATCATTTGTCAAAGTCCAGAAGAGTCATGCTGTCCATGTCCTGGGCTCTGTGTCTTATGGCCTCTATTTTCTGTGGGGACTGGAAGTCTTATTTCTTAACACACATCACTGATAGAAATAGCAATATCCACATCCTCAGATGTCAAAGGAAAATATTAGTGCCAATCTCAGAGGGCTGCTTGTGAAGATGAAATAAGTACATGCATGTAAAATATTAAAACTATGCTTAGACTACAGTAAGCTCCCAATAAAGGTTAGCTTATAGCATTGTCAATCTCACCATTATTTTCATTATTGTCTGAAAAACTGAAAAAGAAAAATGTAAGGCTATGAGAAGTCCTATGCTATATTTAGCCTGGTGATATCAGGCACATTTCCCGACTATTAAAGGTGAACAAATTTCATCTCTGTCTTCTAGTTGAACACTTGGAACTCAGATCTTTCTGGTGGTTCAGTCTTACTCTAAAGGGAATGCTCAGCCATATGGTAAACATTTATTGAGCAAAAACAATATGCTAGGTTTTTAAAGAATACAGAGAAGTTAGGCTCACTTCTTGATCTGAGGATATTTACAAACAAATTAAGAAAATAGCCCAGGACACCTAAATGTTACCAATAGCCAAAGAAAAGAGGGAGACAGAGAGAGAAATACTGAGAGAGGGCAGAGGAAGAACCAACTAAATATGACTAGAAAAACAAATTATCTTTAATAGGCAGCATATTACTAAGCCTAGAAAAATTTTAAAGGTGTTAGAAGATAAATTACCAAATGGGAGAAACAGCACAAATGAAGGCCCAAAGGTTTGAACATCTGTGGCCTACTTGGGTAAAGACAAAGAGGCTGATGTGACCAGACTGTGGTTTTCTTGCAGGAATTTAATGAGCAGAGAGGCTGGAGAAGAGGAGGGGTCAGACACTGCACGATCATCGTGACGTCCAAGAAAGCTGAGACACCTGCGTTTTCAATACTCTGGGAGGCTGAGGCAGGAACATCACGAGTTTAAACCCATGAGTCTGAGCAACTCAGTGATTAGTAGGATTGTGTTTCAATATAAATAAATAAGGGCAAAGGCCCTGGGTTCAATCCCCACTATTGGGGAGTGGGAAAAGAATCAGGGCCTAAGAGGCCTAAATTCTCCAGAGCTTCTTATATGGTATTTCCAGCCCTGCCCTTCTCTGGTCCCTAAGGAACAATCTGAGGACTCAAGAAAAATAGGCCCAATGAATGAAATTTGCAAAGTAAGGGATGAGATGGAGATTCCAACACAGTTCTAACTAAGTCAAAGTAGTTCCTGGGGCACCATTTTTAAAATCACATTTTTGTTGTCGTTGTTGTTTGTACTGGGGATCAAACTCGGTCCTGGTGCTTGGTCCAAGGCAGGTGGTGGAATCACTCAGCTAAATCATGGCCCTTTAAAAATCACATTTTAAAATACCCCAAATTCAGATTCTCATAATCAGTGGCACATAGAGATCACTGGAGTGATATTTCTTGGTGGCACATAAAACAATACTGCATCTTAAAATCAATGGTATTTATGACTTGCTGAGTAAAAGCTGTCATGCAAAGGCCCACTAAGTGCCAGAAGCCACTGCACCAGTGCTTCTTCACCCACCACCATCAGTCCTTAACCCAGGAAGCAGGTGGCCCAGTGAAGAAACTGAGGCCTGCTTAAGTGAAAGGCCTCCTGTCTTCCTCAGGCTGAGCACATTATCATATAGGGCCTCGGGGAAACGTTCTACCTCCATTCATGCAGATACACTACCAGTGTGAAAGGCAAGAGGGCAATTCACAAGTTGGGAAGAAGTAGTCAAGGGGGAGCATTAAGCAGTCACAGCCCCCAGGCCAAGCCAGGAAGCAAGGTGGTGAAAGAGTGCACTACACTGAACACCCTCTCCAGGACATCAGAGATTAGAAAAGAAACAAGCACCCACCCAAATCAGCTTGTGGTTTTCACATGATGCAGATTTCTTCTAAACAAATGACAGAAGTAAACCCGCTAGTCTAAACAAAACCCATCAAGAAATCCCTAACATGTTATTAAATTTCAAATGAAATACCTGGAGAACATCGAATTCCTGGGTTAACAACCATCTTTGTTTAAAGAATATTAAAAACAACAACAACAAAAGTACACCATATGCTTTCAAAATGACAATGGAAACGTTTGTTTATCTCAGCCAGAGCCATTTCATCGAGCTGTTCGCATCTGTGAGTGGAATCCACCCTGAAGCAGAAGGCTGCCTGGACTAAGCGTACAGCTGGCAGCTAGCTCCGGATCCTCTGTGCAGCAGCCTTGGGCCGGAAATGCTGCACCAAGACAGCTGAACGGCTCTCTTCCAGCTCCTCCCAGCTCCTGCTGGCTGCTCACCTCGAGCCTGACCTACAGAGCGGTGAGGAGAGGCCATGGACCCAGCCAAGGGTGGTGGGCACACCTCCACCACGCCATCTTCCCCAGTCTCCTAAAAATGCAGCCTGCAGTGTCGTCATCTCTGGGCAAAGGCCTAGGAGTCAGTCACCTTCTCAGTTCTAACCAGATTTGATGTGAGTTCAACAGTGAGTCATTAGCTCTTTTTTCACATCTCTGTTTCCTCTAGGAAAAATGATCTGGCATCCTTTCATATCTTTATATGGAAGATGCTGTGACTGGGTTACATCAGCATCTATCCACCACAGAAGTCGGAATTCAAAGACTGCAGCTCCTCTCGTGGACTACACGAGGCACTGTGGAGACACCAAGGCCCCTGATTCCCTGGGCTGGTCTGGGTGTTTCCTGCCCTCCAGGGTTGGAGCCGCCTGGGCTCTGGTGGAGGTGGGAGTGGGGAGGCCTGGCTGTCTCTTATAGACACTTTTCTTTGAGGTTTTTCTCTCATCTGACAAGTGAAAAACAAGAAATCCTGAAGGAGGAGAATAAGGCCTAAGTACAAGCACAATAAAAGTGGGAAAAGTTTGGTCTGTTGGGTTTTAATCATTCTGGAAGTCAGAGGGTTCAATTCTCTGTCTCCCTCCCTCTCTATCCCCCCACCCGTTTCATTTCTGTATCTCATCTACATACAAATACACACAGAACCTTAAAGACAAAAAAAAAATCCATTAAAAAACACTACTCTATCCTGTTAATATTTTCCTTCATTGGGCAGTTGGCCAAGAGAACACCAATTTGTATATAGAACAACATAATTCACTCATGAATAGAATACGAAATCAGATTCCCTAAATCCATAGTGTCACTGATATTCCTTCTATTCTCCACAACTTCACCTGGAAAATTACAGGGGGAATAGAAAATCACAGTTGTATTAACTGTTTAGCATGCATGTGGTACAATTACAAAGGGGATCTCGTGATTTTTCAGATTGTATATTTTATCTAATTCAATATGGCAGAATAAACCAACACGATTACTTACTTTTTCAGTTGCCTAGTTTGGAGATTCCATTCTTCATTAACATAACCTGCTTATTTCACTTGAAAGGAAAATCCAAGACAATGCCTCACTCCTCTTTTCTGTATTCTAACATCGCACTGCTTCTCACTAGCACCACTAACAGAGGGCAGTTCACACCTAATGAATGGGAAGCCTTCATGTCTACAATTTAGGGGCTTTACGGTCACAACAATAAAGTATACACCATAAGAAATAGTCTAAACCATATTCCATTTAATTAAAATAACTATCTGATTGTACTCCTATTCCATTGAATATCCTTTGATCATAAAGATACTTTATTTTTGGTATTACTTTCAAAATAGTACTACTAACAATTCAGTAGCCCAACATAAATACCAGAGCACCAGGGTTTCTTATCATGGGCATTATTGATATTTTGGGCTGGATAATTCTTTGATTTGGGGAAGGGGGAGGTGCTGTGCATTATAAGGGGGCTGGAAACGTCTCTAGCTTTACCAGTCAAGGTTAGTGGCACCATTCCAGTCCCAATCACAACAACCAAAATGTCTCTAGACATTGTCAACTGTCCAAATGGAAGAAGCCAGGGGAGGAGGGATGGTACAACACCACCACAGCTAGAACCCAAACATGTCCCTAATTAAATAACAACGAAAAGGGACAGGAAAGAAAGGAAATCAAATTTTTTGTCGCTTCTTTTGTTGACCGTCCAAGCCTCCGCAGATTTTAGTGTTGTCTGGATTCTTTTTACATTTAATGGACTCTTCCTTCTAAATTTCTAAAATTCTTCTACATTTTTTGTGTTGTGTCCTCTGAGTCGATATGCCTTGAGCTTCAAATGGACTGTCAGGCCACTCAAAACCCACTAATTCCCACTGGACAAACTATCAGCAAACCTTAACATAACTCCACTTTGAGCCTTAAACTAACAGCATGTGAAAAGATCAATATGAATTAGTTCAAAACTAATCAGACCTCCTCTTTAAATGTTGACACAGTATTATTTATATGCCATAAATACATTCTTGACTAAAATTCATACTAGGAGCTTGGCACCTGGCCAGTGCTATTCATATTTACTGTATTTATATAGCACACTTGGCCAAGGATAATATTTAAGACAAAGTATGCCCAAGGGCATATACAATATCTCTTATATTTTTACTTTTAAATCTCCACATTGCTAAAAATATTTTAGTCTGAACTTTATAAAATGTCCCACAAAGGACTATCAGCAATCTGTGATGATATATAGCCACTGAGTATAATTACAGCATATTTGTAATACTTGGGCTGCAGTCACTCCCTGAACACTTATAAGTTGGTGGGTAAAAAAAAAAAAAAAATGAACCAGTGATCTTTCCCCTGCCTTCATCCCTGGGGCTTATGATCCTCATGGATTCACAGCATGAAATGGCAGGCACAGGTCCCCCCAGCAGCCACCTAACTCTCTGACCACAGAGTTCAAAGCCAGGCAGGAAAGCCCTGAGGAAGGAAAGTTGGTGTATAAGCCAATGCTGTACTTGGAATTTGCTTTTTAAAAATATGGCAAAGTGATTTTTTCTTTCCTTGCTTTCCTTTGGAAGAGTTCACTGTATTCTGGTATAACTAGAAAGTGCTGGAAACGTCGCTAACCTCCTTTGTATACAATTATCTCCAGTTCTTGAATGTAGAACATAGGGTTCCTAAAGCTGGGAGTTGTGATACGCAGACTGAAAGTATATGACTTTTTGGGTTTAGTTAGTATGCTGGGAACACAGCAGAAAGGAGAAAACACACACTGATCGTAGATGCTGTGTTCTGCAGTCTTCCCCAGTATCTGGGCCCATTTGCAGTTTGTTAAGGACCATAACCCTAGATGGGACCATTTCAGCCAGCCCACCTCCCACCCTCAGAGAACAGAAGGCTAAAGCCCCCACGGGCATCCTGCACACTCCACACCCACGCACTGACAAGATCAGACCTCCTCTGCGTTGTCAAAGTCCTGGCAGCTTATTTGAGCTTCCGCATGTAAACACTGAAAGTTCTGCACCACAGACTCGCCAGTCGGCCTGGAAGCCCGGAGAATCAACGCACGCGCTAGAGAAAGCCACTGACTCAGCTCCCCGCTCAGTCTCAGTGGTTTTGGACCAACTACAATGCACTTTCTTTCCTAATGTCTCCTAGGCTCCACCCCAGATAGAAAGCTTACTGGGAGGGGTGGGGGGAACCAGGGAGGAGTTCATTTATGTGAACAGCTCCGTAATTACAACAAAAAAGCATCCTGCTTGCCAGGATTCCCTGCATTGCTCTGCCATTGAACAAGTCGCGGAGACCCTGCGGCACAGGCGAGCAAGGTGGCCAGAGAGACCAGGGTTAGACACACGGGCAGACATCACGACCAGAGCGTGGCAAGTCCCCGAGCTTCGACTTGTCAAACTAAAAATAAATATTAAAAAAGAAGCGCACTGCACGTCCAGGACAGAGTTACCAAGATGGCCGAGCTAACCACTTGGAGACCCAGGGCCCCGGAGCCAGCCAGCCGGTATATAGGGCGCGAAGGGGGCGGAGAGAAGCAGGCAGCCAATGGAAAGTTTATGGCTCGGGATTTGGAGCGCACAACTTTGGAGCGTTTTTACTTTTTCTTTTTGCTGACTCTTCCTGGTATTTAAACCCCTCAGGTGTCACTGCATGCTGCTCCTGCCTTTAAAACAACAACAACAACAAAAACCTTTGAAATAATTCTGCACCATCTCCCTACCCCCAAAGAACCCCAGAATAAATCATTCTACTCCCAGGGCTACTGTATGCCAGCTGGTTTCGAGAACCTGCTCTCAGGGAAGCCAGTAAAACAACAACAACAACAACAACAACAACAACAACAACAACAACAACAACCCTGTTCTCAGGGAAGCCCTAAAATAACAATAACCAACAACAAAAACGGCTCAGCTGTTAGCGCTGTTTTAGACGTGGGGATGCACAGAAGTAACAAGAGAAAGCCGGAGAAAGGGCGGAAGCGCAGATCTCGGGGTTGGAAAAGATCAGCCACAAAACGCTAAGAAAACCGATCTGCTGCGCCGGCGATTTTAAGAAGGGGGCTTTGGGTGATCTCTGAACAACAGCGTGAACCAAAACCTTCAGCACCGTCAGAGACGCAGGCGTCCTTTACCCCACTCCAGGTGACACTGGAGGGGGACTCGATCAAGAGGTTTTCGCCCGGGTAGGAGACGAGCCCTCGGCGCGAGTGACAGACCCGAGGAGGACTGACGGTCTTTCCGGGGGTCCCCGCCCCAGGTTCGGCCTCGCGGTCTGACCTTCGCAGGGAGAGACAATAGCTGCGCCTCGGGAAGCAGCGCCTTCCGGAGGGGCTCGAGTTTAACCCTCTGCGCGCAGGCTCGGGCGCCCA